GATCGGCATCCTATAGGATGTCACACACGCTGAACTCGCCATTCCAAAATTCTTTACTTTGCGCCCTTGGAAGACAAGATTTTTACGTATTTTTACTTAAAACGTTTCTCTTATACGATTCTGAACAGTTTGATGTTAATATCATAGAAATGCACTTCATTTAAGGGGAACTGTAATAAAAAGTTCCTTCTCGAATTTGCCCGCCTTAAAAACGCCCGTGGATCGGCATCCTATAGGATGTCACACACGCTGCACTCGCCATTCCAAAATTCTTTACTTTGCGCCCTTGTAAAACGAGGTTTTTGGTTTAAACGTTTTTATTACACGATTCTGAATAGTTTGATTTCTATATCATAGAAATACATTTCATTTTGGGAGAACTGTAGTAAAATCTCTTTCTCTAATTTGCCCGCCTTAAAAACGCCCGTGGATCGGCATCCTATAGGATGTCACACACGCTGCACTCGCCATTCCAAAATTCTTTACTTTGCGCCCTTGTAAAACGAGGTTTTTGGTTTAAACGTTTTTATTACACGATTCTGAATAGTTTGATTTCTATATCATAGAAATACATTTCATTTTGGGAGAACTGTAGTAAAATCTCTTTCTCTAATTTGCCCGCCTTAAAAACGCCCGTGGATCGGCATCCTATAGGATGTCACACACGCTCCACTCGCCATTCCAAAATTCTTTACTTTGCGCCCTTGGAAGACCGGGTTTTTGGTTTAAACGTTTTTGTTACACGATTCTGGATAGTTTGATTTCTATATCATAGAAATACATTTCATTTTGGGAGAACTGTAGTAAAATTTCTTTCTCGAATTTGCCCGCCTTAATTCGCCCGTGGAACAGCATCCTATAGGATGTCACACACGCTGCACTCGCTATTCCAAAATTCTTTACTTTGCGCCCTTGTAAAACGAGGTTTTTGCTTTAAACGTTTCTCTGACACGATTCTGAACAGTTTGATGTTAATATCATAGAAATACATTTCATTTGGGGAGACCCGTAATAAAATATCTTTCTCGAATTTGCCCGCCTTAAAAACGCCCGTGGAACGGCATCCTATAGGACGTGACCAATAGCGCTCCCCCGAAACCCAGAATATTTCATTTTCCGTCTTGAGAACTACAACTGTCTACCAAAAACGTTTTATCTCAAAACACTGATGGATTGTAACCCAATACAATGAAGTAAAAGTTCACTTTGATCAATTTAACTTCGCCTTATTTCTTATTCGTCTTCGATGTATGCGGAATTAGCTGGAATTGTTTGAAAATTTGCGTTTGTTATATCAAATAGTCGTTAATATATGTTCGAGTTTCGTCTATTCATCTTCCGCTGTATCAAAAAGGGGGATTTTTTTAAATTTGATCGAAAATATAACGGTTACTTGCACAGATAGTTGTGTAGCCTATGGACCGCCATATTGCCCGTACTATAGTACGTAATTCAGCGGGTGATGCCCGCGTAATTTGGTCCATTTTCAGCGGGTATCACCCACAGGAGTTGCGTGAATCGGGTGAAGAAAATGGCGGCCTCAGTGAAATCACTAGCAGCTAAATACAGGAATTGCACCGACCTGTGATTGGAAGATAAAAATAGTATTTCAGTGACGATGACGTGACAATTCGTTACGTTAGCCGTTTCAAGAGTAATGGTTTTTACACGAAAAAGACAGTCCACAGGAAAATGCAATATAATATTAAATATTTCTCAAAGACAAACAGTGCAGTATTCTTTTGAAGTCGGCTGACTCGCTAAGAGTCAATGTCTTATCGAAGTTGAAGTTCAACTGTCGCAAATCGGATAACTTCACTGAGTGATTCTGAGATGAAACCTTTTGTCTGCATCCACATTGATCTTAGATTTTACCACTTACATATTGAAGAAAAGCCATAAACAGAGCTTCAATGTCCACGTACACCCGACTGAACCTCGGTGCGATTCCTGCAGATACCGCTGTTCATACTAAATGCAGGAATTGCACCGGACGCGTTCTCGTCCCCAGAGTTTTTTTTTTTTTGAAACCGCGACAAGACATCGATCCCTTTTCAATATAGTCTTGCGACAAAGGTCTGTATTAAAAAAATTAATACTGTTGTTGGAGGGCATGCAATGAATCATGCTAAAGTTTCTATTGGGAACACAAAATAGAGGTACCAGGGAATCACAGGGAACAACTGTGTAAGTGACATACTTTTTATTTAACTTTGTAGCTAGTGTGCCGGTGGGGGGGGGGGATTCCTATACAATAGGCACAGGGCGGCTCATTAGAAAATTTAGTGTACCAAAGACTTTCTTTGACCCCTCGAGGAGTCCACTTCAACACTGTTAGCAGTAAAGTATGTGCAGGGCTTTTGTAAATGGATATTTCTATATTTACTGACTTTCCACCCCAATATAAACATACCAATTAAGTGAGATCAAATTCTGTGTATTTCTATGCCTTTACTGAGATGAGACAACTTGATAAGTTAGAAGACAAGCAATCCCTGTAACTTTTATACAGGAGTTTCTCCCTCAAAAAGGCTAGTGTAATTTATTTGGATTGTGTGGTTCCAGAAAATAAACATACCCACCAACCCCAAGGAAAATTCTGAAGGGAGGGGGTTTGAAAGGCCAAGATTTTTAAAGAAAAGTATGAAATTAACCTGGAATTTCCCGAATGGTGGGGCATCCCAAGGAAAATACCATCTTTGGAGGGTATGGATATTTCCTGGAACAACGCATTTATTGTTTGTTATTAATAATTTAAAGGAAAAATAACACAGTTTGTTTATATAAGTGCATACGTTGTGGTTCAATTTGATCCTTGGTTTAAATTTTAGTTTCCTTTATTGTAAACTCATTATCATAGATTACCATACACAAAAACAAAGGAAAATATAAACCAAGGACAAAATTGAACCACAACATACATATATTAAGCTTATGTATAAACTAGCCAACGTATATATCTGTTACCTAGATAACATTTCGGCAATGATTTATATAATGCTAAGAAAGTCAGACATTCATGCTCACAGCTTGGGGCTATATTTCACAGCCGGCAAAAAGTTGATTATCCCTGGTAGTAGTTTTGCAAAACAAAAAGCAAATTTAAAACAAATAGAAGATTTCAAATGTACAGAAACCAAATTAAACAGTTTTTGAGTGCATGAAACAGTACATATGTGTGTAAATACTGTCAAGAAGGTCACTTAAAACCCATCGTGTGACACAGAGAGAAGCCACTTCATTTGGTGTCATGTCATAGTTTGGAATAATATAATCAAAAGGATTCAAGTATAGAATTTCCTGAAATTTCTTTATGGAACTTTCTGGAGGATACATTTGGACAGTCAGTGGTTTAATGTATGGTTCTGAAAACCAGTTTAATTCTGCTTGGACGGCCCTTTGTAGATCCCTTGCATAATGTACTTTTAACATATCTTTAACATCAGATATGCTAAAACATTGGGAGCCATGCTGCAGATAATAGTAACCCCTCTCTTCTTTCTGCCAGAAGCTTAGCTGCTTATCCCATGTTGTTAACAGACTAAACGGTGGTATTGTTTTCAATGAAAAGGGGTTTGTTGTAATTCTTGGAGAATCTGACACAACAACATCACCATCAGCATTTCGAGGGGATTTTGTGGGGGTAAATTGAATTCAAAGGCCTCTCTCCTGGTATGGCTGGTAAGGGCAGAAGAGGTTACTTGCTTACTGCACTTTTGCCAGTCACCAGCCTGCATGGAATAGAGTTCAGATTCATTCAGATGAGTGTTTAGTCATTGACTGCCCTCAACTCCTCCACCCCCAAAAAAAAATGAATAAAAATATAAATCAATGTAGAAATGTTATCCACAGGTACACAAAGTGTAAATACAAGAGCTAATTTCAGCAAACTCTTACAGGTGGACCGCCTTTTCCTAAATTTTGCGAGTGAACATGACATGTAACTCTATTAGCTTAAAACAAGCACTGACTCGTCTTTAGTTTCTCCACAGACTTTTTCTGCGAAAACTCAACCCCACCCACCCACCCCCTATGGCAGGTCAAATGGTCCTCGCAGCTACGTGCTGAAACGCAATGATTATTCGGTTTGCTGAAAAGGGGATTTTTGTTTCTTCCAAAGGACATGATGGGATTTAACCAGGCTGTTTAGGTGACCATTATTTTTACATTGCTGAGGTATTTCAGATTCGATATACTCACCAAGGAGAGCATGTTACACTTGTAAAGTCAAGCAGTAAAAGAAAAAAAAGGCAAAGAACAATCAGCCCGAGGTTTAGATGACCTTTAGTCAGGATCCTATAACCCCTGCTTCAGTATAATTTAACTTCGAATACAAGTGATGTGTTATTTCCAGTGGCCTAAGTCTTGTCCTATCAAGCGAAAATCAAAACGCGAGAAAATCAATTAAAGTTTCCCGCGGCTATTTAATTTATGCCAAGTTGCGCATTCGACCAATGAGCGTCCGGTGTATCCTCGTTCCCAGAGGCCGTCTTTCTTGGTCACGTGCTCTTTTGTTACAACTAACTTAGAGTGACTCTGGGGACGAGAACGCGTCCGGTGCAATTCCTGCATTTAGTATGAACAGCGGTATCTGCAGGAATCGCACCGAGGTTCAGTCGGGTGTACGTGGACATTGAAGCTCTGTTTATGGCTTTTCTTCAATATGTAAGTGGTAAAATCTAAGATCAATGTGGATGCAGACAAAAGGTTTCATCTCAGAATCACTCAGTGAAGTTATCCGATTTGCGACAGTTGAACTTCAACTTCGATAGGACATTGACTCTTAGCGAGCTAGTCAGCCGACTTCAAAAGAATACTGCACCGTTTGTCTTTGAGAAATATTTAATATTTTATTGTATTTTCCTGTGGACTGTCTTTTTCGTGTAAAAACCATTACTCTTGAAACGGCTAACGTAACGAATTGTCACGTCATCGCCACTGACATACTATTTTTATCTTCCAATCACAGGTCGGTGCAATTCCTGTATTTAGCTGCTAGTGTGAAATCAAAACAAAAAGCTCGAAGGAGCATTTTTGCGTCAGTAATGGCTGTATCTCCTGGTTTCTCGTATTTCTGGAAAATACCTCCTTACACATTGGAAAGGCACCGTGTTAAAGGATGTTTTTGGAGTGGAAAAGATCTGTTTTGCGAAGTTTATTTTTTATTTTTCGGATACGACGATGGAGTAGCGATTCCTTGTAGCAGAAGTAAGGGACCATGAAGGTAAGCCCTTTTTTTAGGGATATTAAGAGGAAAGTGGTGGCTATTTTATGCGGTAAATTGTCAACAAAGGCACCATCTAATACTGGTTTTTCTGCGCATGGTTTTCGATTAAAATACAGTTCTAACTTGACTTTATCTATGATAAGGAGTTGACTTTCTAGTGTTAATGCCACAAAATGCAAAATACACATGTGCATCAACACGTGCTACCCATTAAGTGTTGAGTGCCAAGTCTTTCCTTCAGTCGTTTCGTCGATTTGCAAGGAGGCGAGATCTACCTTCAGCTCTATTGTCTGATAATGCTAGAACGTCTAAGCCTTCTAAAAAGAATGGTCCGACACTTAATTGCTATCGAGGTAGAAGCAGACAACCAAGTGCCGGGTCATTCATGTATTCCACTGCAAGGATCACAACCAGTGGTTAACAGTAATCCACCTACAGGGCGACCACGCCGCAATGAAGCAGTACGCGGAGAAATCCTTCGAAGAAACACGTTTGAGATTTTGACTTTGAGATTATTTGAGGTGAGGGGTGTCAAAAGTGGGGAGTGTGAGAATCTTTTGATTGAAACTTTTGACATGTTCCTGAACATTTTGTTATTCCTTTTATGGCGTGATAAATATATACCACGTGACTAGTTTTACATGTGCTTGTTCGGCATGTCTTCGAGTTAGGATTTGGTGGATTGTATGCGAGAATTGGAGAGTGACATGATGACGATTTGTTACCGATATGTACCGGTTTCGAGGATTAAAGCGTTGAAATTACAACAAGCGAGTTGCCGTTTCTTACAAGGATGACGTGTCTGATTGAACAGTAGCTAACTATAAAATCAGGAATTCAAGGCAGATTACCGAAATCTTGGAAGAATCGTAAACTGGAAATAAGTGAGATTAGAAATAATAAGTAATTTGCCCGGACGACATAGCGTTGATACTCAACCACATTGATGATCGAAGCACAGATTCTGCTACTAAGTGTAGTGAATGAAGCTGCAGATGTCGGACTACTCTAAATGCAGCTAAAACTCGGGCAATCGTCTAGCGCTCGACCAAACTGCTTTAACATTACTTTAAAGTAAAATTTTCACCATTATCATCACTGATCGCACCCTTAACTTTTGGTTCTCAGAAAATTTTTATAATTAGCTTGAAGTTTAGCTCAACTACAAGGATTGCATCTGCATTCTTTTGATATAATAAAAGCATTGCCGGGGATCAAACACGTAACCTTTCTTTCAAAGAGATGTAAATGTTAGTGAACGATTGACAAAGAGCAGTGGCCGTGAGAGAATAGAATGCAACCTTGCACTTTAGAATTTTAAGCTTTTATCGTTTTAGACTTGTAAGTAGTAAGTAGCTATATGATTTTAACTGGTGTATATCCTATTTATTTTCTAATTCATTAGTTATCTTATTTAATTATTTAGACACGACCCCACAAGCAAAGCGTCGCTTTAAATACTTATCGTGTATAAATAAAGATTATTGATTGATTGATTGATTGAAATGTACTAACAAGAACTGAACACGCTCTTAAATATTGAATTTTTCAGTGAGTTTTACAGAGCTACCTGGAGGACGGTAGTTGGATCAAAAACTACGTCATTACCGGCATTACCTGATTTATGGTGCTAGCAAGGCTGACCTTGTTGTCATTGATTGCATTGATAATAGACGCAACATCTTATGATAAAATTAGCAAGGACGAACACCATCCGCTATATTCTATCTTACCGACTGTAAATCACTCTTGTCACAGGCTTCGAAGGAAGACATTTCAGCTACCTTTTATAGTTAACACTAAGACTCCTGCTTCTAAATAGGCTATCCATTAATTATAACTTAGCAATTTGATTCTACTTTAATTGTAACTTTTAATTTAATTTTAATTCTTGACTGTTGTAGCTTTCGATAGGTGTTTTATCGACTGCGGAATAAAGATTATTATTATGATTATTATTATTACTTTCTTCTACGAATTTCTATTTTCCTGTAGAGTAATTAACTTACTTTTGTAAAGAGTCTTTTGACCTCTTTTCTCCGTGATAATATTTTGAATGATCCAATCATATTTTATCTTATCAGATTCATTCAATGTTTAGTATTTAGTATTTTGGTAGAATTCCCATTAATCTTTGTTTTCTTTCTTATTTGCGGAAAAACTAAAAACTTGAAGCTGGTTAAACTTCATCGGAAGTCAAGGAAGCCATGAAGTTTATGAAAAAAACCGCAACGCGTGATGGCTGAAACCAGGTCGCATAACGACCATCTAACCGTGACACTTGATAACGGAACTGCACCACCTTACATAGTAACAGAAAAAAAAAATATATAATCAGAAACGTCCGCATCAGGTACAAAGTGATGAAAAGAAAAACAACTTCACAATGAAGTAACCACACCGCATCACGATATAAACATATGAATCACGTATTTGATCAAACTCTGTCACGAAGAAGAACAAGATTGCACGAGAGTTGACAAAACCACGGCATATATTAAATGATATACCTGAAATGCAACGAATGTGACGAGACAATATCAGTTCACGCCATTGTAACACTAACAGTAATGGATACATGAGAAACCTTAGGGTCTTTTTTTTCTGTTAAAGGAGAAAAAAAAAAACCAGCTAGTTTGTAATGAATGTGCTTAAAGGGCATTTGAGAGCTCCCGAGAGTGAAATGCGGAAGATCTAGTGGTGCCACGGAGCAGCACGTGCTAAGAAAAATAAAAAAGTTGATTGTTCTGTCAAGTACACTTAAATTAACAACGCCCGAATTTTTGAAATTACGAGGTAAGCAAAGGATTTTATGCGGTAAGAACGAAAGGAATTTCGCAACATAAGACTGACGGAATTATCAGAGACTGTCTGCTAATAGTCTAATACTCAGTTTTAAAATTTTCAAATTGACTGAACGCGTTCACAAGTTATTAGGCGTTGGTCTTGGTCTTTTTTAGTGTGAGAACTATTTTTGTGTTTTATCCGCCCAAATGTCCCCGGAAGTTTTTCTGTGGGTGTTCAGGTTTACCCCTTTCGTCAAAAACCAAATGTCAAAATTCCAGTTCGACCTGGAAAGCGTCTCCAATTAATTGTGGCAGGACACTTAAGAAGATCACAGGTTTATCATAAACTGTCAAGAGTCACTCTTTCTCTAAGTAAATTTAGAGTTTCGTTTTTTTGCCCATAAGTTACGCTTTCCGCCCTAAAAATTCTATACACCAGTGCTTTTGCAAGGGTTAAGACTCATGAAAGCTTTTCAATCGGCTTCGTCTCCTCACCACTAGTCATTATTGTGCAAGCAGTGTTTTATTAGTATCTAATTACATTGTCTAGTTTCTTTCCAATTTAGATTAGGCAATCATAGAATAAGTTAACCAAAAAAGTGATGAATGAAGTCATAATTAGTAGAGGAGACTAACTATGAAGAAGTGAACTAAACAGCATTGTGGGCCATGCAGACTCTTCTAGTTATCATGGAGTAGTATGACTGTAATGGTGAACTTTTTCGTTACTTCACAGTTTGAATATTATTCATTTCTGTAACAGTTCCATGGTTGATCCTTCTCTTTCTTATCCTGTAAAATCTGTTCTTGGTCTAAATTTCAGTGAAGTATGCGAAATCAACGGATTGGTTATCATTGTTGTCGATAAAACCAGAATATTGCCCATCAGTACTAAGCTTAGTTTCGAATTGTTTTTAGACGATTTCAATTTGTTGGAATATAAATTCTTTGGAAAGAGTGTCGATCACTTAAAACTTGACAAAAATTAAACTGCATTGCTCTTTGTGAGTATTCGAACGACAAATGTTAAATGTTATCAATTGCGCTCAATGAAACATAATTGGATTCGGTTGAGCTGTCCAGCAAATCACTAATGTTCAAAGAAACACCGCTTACTGCATGTTCTATGGTAATTTCTTTATATTGTTCTTGTTGAAACAGATGAAATTCAAAGTTGTTAAAGGGTTTGTGTCACAAGTAGTAAATGAGATTGAAAATAATCTTTTCGCCATTCGATTAATCATTGATCGCATCCCTGAATTTCAAGGTTTTCAGCAAAATCTCGTTAAGTGTCTCAAGTTAATCACAGAACTGAAAGTAGTGCATCCGCATTCTTTTGGATGCGTGGGATCAATGGCGTATATTGTATTTCAAAGAAATGGAAATTTTAGTGAACGATCGAATTAAACACGGCGGTAATGATAAAGGAAGATTGCCCGCAGGTCCGTCGAGAAGAACACGCTACCGAGTACTAAATTTTTCCTATAAAGAAGGCTCTGCCAAGGCAGCCTAAGTCCTTTTTGCTACATTTTCCAGTTACTCCTCTATTCTCGCTATTGAACTTAACGTTTGCGAAGAATTTACAAAAAACAGAGTTACGTGACAGGAAATGAGGCGTAACAAACGTTAAAAAGTGAAGCCTGTTTCAAACGTTTCTTGCCGGCGATATTTTCTGTTAAACCTATTCTTAACGGACACCTCTATTAAGGTGCACCAGCCAAGGACCCGTTGGTTTCCGGTTAAAAAAAAAAAAACAACAGGCAAACTTTGATTGATACCGTAAGACTGCACTGTTTTCAAAAACCCTAATTACAATCCTTGCCTTCTTTTTTATTTAAAGTTGTTGCGAGGTTTATTTTACAGAAGTTGATTTTTGAAATACATTCTCTGTAATTTTTATTTCAGGGCTGTACAAAAAATTACAGAAAATATATAGGGAAAGCATATTCAAAAATAAAATTCCATCCGACAGTAATCTTCTCCAGAGATACTTCGTAACATTTAAAGTCAGGTTGTATGACTATTGTCAGATTTTCCAAATATACAGTGTTAATAGATTCTACAAAGGAGGACTTTTTAGCCTTGAATTTTCACACAAACCTTAAATTTTCCGCTTTTTTAGCTGGGATGCGGTTGTTTGAAACAGGATTAAGATAACACAGAATAAGCCCACGCTCACAAAGCAAATTCCTTGTTATTACTTTTGCCTACAGGTTGATGTCTGGACGCTCTTAAATGAAGTGAAAATGAATTGAAGAAACTATTTTGAACCAATAAATTTGAACACGGATCAAGATTTAACCCCGGGTTAGCAATAACCGCCCTTCAAACAACTGGAGCCTGATCACCCGCCATGCGCTCAAAAGCGTGAATTGTCAGCCTCAACGTGAATTGTCTTCGACGATGCAAAAATATTGCGTTCTTTTAGCAACTGAGTATTGCTTTATTTGTTATCCAACTTTTAAGCAAGCTCGACCTCGGCCAACCTGTGCTGAATTTTTGGCGTGTTTTAGTGAATATGTACATACTAGGGACCTTAAGCGACGACGACGACGGCAGTGAAAACGTCGCTAAGAAAATGAATTTGAGTTCTTTCAAACTTAATCGCGTCTATTTGGACCCGATAAAATGTCAAATGCAGGCGACTTTTCCTGGGGTTGAATTCTTAAGGATTTTATGTGGGTTCAAAAAGAGGAAGGAAGATTCGTCGTCGTATGTCCACGTCCTCCATAAAACGTCAAATTAGGAGGTTTCACGTCGTATTCGGGAGTGGACGTCAAAGAAATGTACTGAAAAGCGTGATGCACGGGGTGAGCTGTTGTTTTGATCGTTAAACCTATTGTTTTTTAAAGTTGTTGTCGTCGTCGTGGTCAGTCGTAGTTTCTTAAGCTGAGTACTAAGGCAAGTGACCAGTGGTCTTGGTTTGGTTCAGCTCCACCTAAACAAAGTTAATAATATTCAAATCGTCGAGACAGCAGGAAAACCGCAGCAATTTTTAAAAATAGTGCGACTTTTTTAATTTTAGCAAACATGTTTCGACGGTACATCCGTCATCGTCAGTGTGACGGTTATGAAAGTTTATAGCTGATAAAACGTGCCTGTTGCAATACGTTACATTGCGTTGGAAAACAATACGCTACATAAATTTAAAGTTAACAAAATTAAGAGATGCGCGTGCCCGCATCTATAGAGAAAGCGTCAGATTGATGTGTTTGACCTGTTGATTAAGGTCAGGCTTTTCCTTCTTAACCTACATAGACTCCAAATCATAATTAATCATAATCATCAGTCGGCAACTAACATAGAAAGAATTTTCTGTTTCTGGGTCGTGTTCGTTAAGGAAACTAAAACTCTTGAGTTCTCAGGAAGCCAAAAAAGAAAAGAAAAAGAAAAAGAAAATGGAAAGAACACTTCCTCTCTAACTCACGTTGCTAAGTTAATATTATATTAGTATTGATGAACTTATTATCGATCGTGCGTTAAAAAGAATTATTATGCCATTCCTCTGGTTATTATGCACCTTGCGAAATTTTTAAACAAGGTCCTTCTCATTTTCAATTGTTTTGGTTTAACAAGCTCATGTCCCATATCAGTTGTTTTATCTATTCTCTTAAAATTGAAGCGCTTATTCCTTACGATCGGTCGGTTCATATACCGACTAAGTTTGGGGTTCGCAAGCTAAAATAAATATTTTGCTAGGGTAGATAAATTCCAAATTAGGGCGTTCCGCTTCGGTTAAACCAGTTACACAAATTTTGGAAATATCTCATAGAAGATTGTGGAAAAGTGTTACCACAACCTCTTTTGATGGCCGGCCATCAGTTGAACACCTACGCGGTCCAGATTACTGCGGAACAGAGGTCATTCCTTCATCCTTCCAGCCATCAGAACTGAACGTTTCAAACGTAGCTTCATAAAAAGATTTTTTTTATCCTTTTTTATCAAGTTTTAAAATTTGTATAGTTTTAGCAATGGATTATACACTGTTTTGCATTAATAGCTTGTGACAAAGAACGTATGTTTGTTTGGAATTTAAGAGAAAGAGCTTTTTCTTTGCAAAACTTTACCGAAAAGGTTTATATTAAAATATCAGCATGATGTCATTAGTTACTTTATTTGAACTGAAAAATTACTTTTTATTGCAAACCGATAGACTTATTCACTAAACATCATCATAAGCTCTGCAAATAGCACTGGGCACCCCGGCTATCCGCCTTGCGTTTTTACTTACAATACCGCTGAATATCACCCACATCTTACTTTAAAATCCCGAATCCCGTCGTTAAAATAAGGGCAATCCCGAATCCCTTAAGACCTATATTGGGCCACCCTGGAGTGTGGCAATTAAGTGTTGTTTTTAAAAGTGTTACAAAATGTGGGTGACTCATCTACGTAAAAAGAAATTAACACGCGCTCAAGCAACACAGAAAACCCGTGAGACCAGGGATCCTACAATAAATGAAACTGCCTGCTACGATTTTACCGAAAAGCTTACGGGTAACGCTTTTGGGACGAATTACACACACATCATGACATACATTTAATAATCTTGTTTACTTGGGCATGAGACTTAAAAAAAACTCTGAGTTTTAGATTAGAAGTGGATGGATAATCTCGTATAAGGATAATCTCGTCCTCCGAGTGAGTCCGAGTAAGGATTGTCAGAATCGTTTGATTGGCATTTTGATCGTGATCATTTTGTGATTCCTTTTATGGAGTGATAAATATATATCATGTGACTAATTTTATATGTGCTTGTTCGGCATGTCTTCGAGTTAGTTTTTGGCTGATTGTATGCGAGGATTCCAGAGCCGAGAAATTGTGACGATTTTTACCGGTTTCGAGTATTAAGGCGTTGAAATGACAACAAGCGAGTTTCCGTTTCTTACATGGCGCCCAACGTGGGGCAGTGAAGTCCACTAAACGATAAAGGCGAACCCGAAGAGACAAAAAGGCAAGGGTTGAATTATGCCAACGATTTGTAACTATTGAAAGCGATCAGAGGAGGGCAACGAGGAGTCGCAACAAAGCTGATAGTAGAAGCCAAGGAAATATTGGAAAGCACATTCCTTTTAACCGAAGATTACGAGCGGTTCTTTGTGATTTATCACAACTGGACACAAAATGGCAAACGCTAAACGATTACGAGCAGCAAATCTTAACTGTGTGTAATGTGACTGATATCGATGGCAAGTTCGAGGATTCTCAACGAGCAATAGAAAAGGTTATGGCATGCAAGCGAAAAACCGATTTGAAGTTAAAACAAAAATCAATTGGTTCAGAAAAAAATCACAGCGAAAGTTATTCGAATACAGGTCAAGTTACGGCGAGAACAAGCCAAGCAAAGGCTAAACCACGAAAATTAACTTTGGCTATATTTCGAGGAGAATTCACAAAATGGAACACTTTCTGGGAAAGTTTTCAATCCGCCGTTCATGACAACCGAGAAATTTCTCAAGTGGATAAATTCAACTAATATCTCAACTCAGTGTCAGTGGGACCGGCAGCGAGAGCCATTTCTGGCTTAACATTGACAGCTTTGAATTACGAGAACACCGTGCGAATTCTTCAGGATCGCTTCGGGAAAACACAGCAGATTATCACCGCGCATTTGGACGAATTGATTAAAATAACACCCTGCCATAACGACCGTCCAACCTCGCTAAGATATGTTTTCGACCAGATAAGTGTTCACACACGAGTCCTAGCTTCGTTAGGTGTATTTCCTGAGCAATATGGAAGCTTGTTGATCTCGATAATTATGTCTAAACTGCCTAATAAAATTCGACTACACGTGGCTCGAAACTCAACGGATGAAGTATGGACTAACGATTAAGAAAGAAGAAGTTGAAGCTCGAGAAACCAGCGAGCAAGTAAAAACAAGTGAAAACGACCGCAAGCCTTCTACTAGAAAACCGCCAATTCCTACCGCAAGCGCATTGTTTGCCAAGCAAAATGGCGGGAAGAATATTCCTCGATGTGTTTATTGCAAGGAATTGCATTATTCTGCCTCGTGTGAAAAAGTTCAAAATCTTGTTCAACGCAAGGAAATTTTGATGAAAGAACGAAGAAGTTTGAAGTGTTTGGCTCCAGGTCATATCGCGAGTTCGTGCCAAAATGAGAAGGTTTGCCGCCATTGTAAACAACGCGGCCATCATCAGTCAATTTGCCTGACGCTTTCACCTTGTGACCGCAGCGAAAAGAAGAGCAACCAACCTGAAGGGGATATTAACAACACCACTACAACGAACACTGTTAGAAACAAAGGAAAAGCTGTTCTTCAGACAGCGAAGCCCAGTATTGCCTTTAATGAGGACAACTGGAAATCGTCGCACGTGCGTATATTGTTTAACAATGGAAGCCAGCGAAGTCACATAACAAGCAATGTGAAGTCAAAGTTGAATTTGAAGCCTAAGAAAACAGAGACACTACACTTGAACACCTTTGGAGGGAACTGAAGCTGCGAACTCGTTAGACTCCGACTTGCCATCATGTTGGCGAAGAAAATCGAAATTACCGCCATTTGGAGGATCTAGCTGTAGCGGATAGTTTGGATGACAGTCGTGGAGACATTAATATCTTTATTGGATCAGACTATTATTGGAATTTGGTCAGTGGTGAAACGATTCGAGGAGATTCTGGTCAAAACAGTCTCATCCATGTTTGGCTGGCTTCTATCTGGTCCCTTGCGTGACTCCTTGAGAGAAGATTCAATTTCATCGAATTTGATCATTTCAAGAGTGTTCCTTTGCTGCTCACAAAGATGAAGAATTGGTAAACACCGTAGAAAAATTCGGGAAACTGAATCCGTTGGAATACAAAGTGAAGGGTCAGATACTTGCTAATCTGTGAAAGAATTTGTGAACGTTAGACAATGGACAGCGATACGAAGTTGAACTTCCGTTTAAAGATGACTGTTTACCTATTCTCGACAACTACAATCTCTCATTGTTACAACCGCCTGAAATCTATGCAGTTCTAGTTGAGCAAGACTCCGGGGCGCAGTTGTTCGAAGGTCGATTAGTGTTAACCCGGGGTTAAATTGTAGCCCAATTTTCTATTTCTTTTGTTCAAAAGCATTTTTCAGGATAATTTTCTCGATTCTTTTTAGAGCATCAAATTATCAAATTGTGGACATAAAGAATCAAACTGAATTTGCTTTTTAAGCTTTCATATCTGAATTGAAACCCTGGTTTATGTCAACCCTGCTTTGAACAACCCAGCCCAGACATATTACGCGAATATGAGAACATAATTCAAAAGCAACTGGCAGCAGGAATCAATAAGAAGATTGCAAATCAGTTATCTGAAGAGCTGAATAATCAAGACGTATGTTATTTGCCGCACCATGCGGTTATTCGGAAGAATAGAGAAACCACGAAACTCCGTATAGTTTATGATGGGTCTGCAAAGTCGCAAGGACAGCAGCTTTCCCTCAATAGGGAACAGTTACGACCCACGACGACGACTTTGTCGACGACGACCGGAACTGAGATACAGTGCACTACGCATGCGCAGCCAGCAAATTTCGTGGTCGTGGTGTCGTCGACGACGCCAAACAAAGTAGAATCACGTCGTCCTGCAATCCACAAGCTTGTGCAGATATAAATCCCTGTTTTTAAGCGATTTTTGAAGTCCTTTACATTTGTTTATCCGCGTAAATCGAGTTATCCCTTCTTTTTTCTCCTAACAAGCGTTGTTGATTGAAAATTGGACTAATGAATTGTTTTTACTTCGAAGAATGACAACAGCTGTAGAGGCTGAGCGTGCGAACTCATAACTGATAAATTTAGTTGTACGCATTTAGGAAAGGCAAATCATATATCTTTAATATAGAGGAAACAATGTTTACTTGGAAAACAGCTATTGCATCGGATTGTCTCTTTTTCCAAATCTAAACTCTGAGACACTCGGACTCGGTCATCCGCTCATTCAGGTTGAAAGTTGGTTGATCTTCGTACGGAAAGCAGCGATTTTTCCGTTCGAAAAGGTCAGACAACACTAAAAATTCTTCATCGTCAATGAACTTAGACGTACGACGTAAAAAAAAAGATCTTTCATCGTTTTAAAAGAGGCCATTGCGAAAAAACTTTGTTGCGAACGAACATCACAGTGTTACATTTTTGTTCACATTCAGTGTCGTCGACTGCATCTTTAAGTTTCCTTTTTCCCGCCGAAAGTGACGTTCTCGTTCCAGTCCTTTCCCAGTCAACAGACGTCGTCGTCGTGAACTTCGTCGTGGTTCTTAAGTTCCCTGATGACTGTCTTGCAACTGGCCCAGATTACATATACGGCAACTGGCAGATGTACTTGTGAGATTTCGCTAGAATCGAACTGCAATTACTGCAGACATTGAGAAAGCGTCCTCAATGATTGGCATACAAGAGAATCAGAGAAACAAGCTTCGGTTCCTATGGTTGAAAGACCCTTATGTTCTTAATTCAGAGGGCATTTAATTGCGATTTTGTAGACTTTTGTTTTGGCTGAGGCTTTTACCATCCATTCAAGGAGCCACTTTGACACATCACTTGGATGCCCATAGAGATTCACTTGCTGAGTTAGTTGAGTTGATAAAGAAATCCCTTTTTGTCGATGACCTTTTGACCGGTGCTGACAACGTTCAAGAAGGATTTGAACTTTACAAGCCGGGATTCAAAGGAACTGATGGCCAAAGGAGCCTTTAACTTATGTAAATGGCACTGAAATTCTAGTGAACTGCTTCAGCTCATCAACAAAAAGGAGGAAAGTATAGCGCAAACGAAAACTGAAAAGACAAATGCAGTAGTGGAGGAAGAAGATGGATCTTTTATCAAGTTCTCTGTTGGACCAACCCGTACAGCAGATACACTAGTCAAGACTCTCGGGGTTTGTTGGAACACTGCAACGGATGAAATATCATTTTATTCAGCTGATTGAGTCTGCAAACACGAGAATAATATGAGAATAACTATAGAGCATATGCTAACGATGTCTTTACTGAGGAAATTCTCCAAGGTTGTAAAGAGTTTTCTGGGGCACAACACAAGTTCCCTCCAAAATCCCCCTTTTTTTCGAATTTTAGCCTTTTCTTGAATATATGAAGTACCTACCATCGTTATAGGAAATACCACTGACCACCATGACCTGTTAAACACGTTAAAGAAAATGGCGGCCTCAGTGAAATCAAAACAAGACGCTCGAAGGAGCATTTTTGCGTCAGTAATGGCCGTATCTCCTCGTTTCTCGTATTTCTGGAAAATACCTCCTTACACATTGAAAAGGCACCGTGTTAAAGGATGTTTTTGGGGTGGAAAATATCTGCTTTGCGAAGTTTATTTTTTATCTTTCGGATACGACGATGGCGTAGCGAATCGGTGCAACCGTTTCCTTGTAGCAGAAGTAAGGGACGATGAAGGTAAGCCCTATTTTTAGGGATATTAAGAGGAAAGTGTGGCTATTTTATGCGTTAAATTGTCAACAAAGGCACCATCTAAGACCAGTTTTCCCCACATTGTTTTCGATTAAAATACGGTTCTAACTTGACTTTATCTATTTTGATGATGGGGAACGTTGACTTTCTAGCGTTAATGCCACAAAATGCGAAATCTATTTTTTCCCCTCTTTTTCCCTTATAACATCTGTTCATACACATGTGCATCAACACGTGCTACCCATTTAGAGGTGAGTGTCAAGTCTTTCCTTCAATCGTTTTGGAAGGAGGCGAGTTCTACCTTCAGCTCTTTGTCTGATAATGCCAGATCGTTTAAGCCTTCTAAAAAGAGTGGTCCCTCACTTAATTGCTATCGAGGTAGAAGCAGAATCGATAGACAACCAAGTGCCGGGTCATTCAAGTATCCCACTGCAAGGATCACAACCAGTGGTTAACAGTGATCCACCTACAGGGCGAACACGCAAGAATGTAGCAGTACGCGGAGAAGTCCTTCGAAGAAAACTTTTGAGATTTTGACTTTGCGATTATTTAAACACTGAGGTGTGTCAAAAGTGGAGAGTGTGAGAATCGTTTGATTGACATTTTTGACATGTTCGTGAACATTTCGTTATTCCTTTTATGGCGTGATAAATATATACCACGTGACTAGTTTTACATGTGCTTGTTCAGCATGTCTTCGAGTTAGGATTTGGTCGGTTGTATACGAGAATTAAATGATGACAATTTGTACCGGTTTCGTGGATTAAAGCGTTGAAATTACGACAAGCGAGTTGCCGTTTCTTACAAGGATGACGTGTCTAATTGAACAGTAGCTAACTAGAAAATCAGGTAAAATTGGGAATTCAGGGTCGATTACCGAAATCTTGGAAGAATCGTAAAACTGGAAATAAGTGAGATTAGAAATAATAAGTAGCGTTGATACTCAACCACATTGATGAAGCACAGAGTCAGCTACTAAGTGTAGAGAATGCAGCTGCCAATGTCGGACAACATCTAAATGCAGCTCAAACTCAGGCAATCGTCTAGCGCTTGACCAAACTGCCTTAACATTACTTTCAGTAAAGTAATATTTTCACCATCATTCCATCATCACTGATCGCACCCTTAACTTTTGGTTCTGAGAAAATTCTTATGATTAGCTTGAAGTTTAGCACAACTACAAGGATTGCATCCACATTCTTTTGATATAATAGAAACTTTGCCGGGGATCAAGCACGTAACCTTTCTTTCAAAGAGATGTAAATGTTAGTGAACGCGGATTGACACAGAGCAATGGCCGTAAGAGAATAGAATGCAACCATGGGCGCAATCTGCCAACAAGAACTGAACACGCTCTTAAGTATTGAATTTTTCAGTGAGTTTTAGAGACCTACCCGGAGGACGGTAGATGGCTCAAAATTTACGTAGTTACCGCCATTACGTGATTTCTGGTGCTAGCAAGGCTGACTTCACAAAAGACGCTACATCTTATGATAAAATTAGCAAGGGCGAACACCATCCACTACAGTCTATATTCTATGTTCTCACAGGCTTCGAAGCAAGACATTTTAGCTACCTTTTGTTGTTAACACTGAGCTCTTTAAGACTCCTGCTTCGTAAATAGGCTATGCTTTAATTATAACTTAGCACTTTGATTCTACTTTAATTGTAACTTTAATTTAATTTTAATTCTTGGCGTTTGTAACTTTCGATAGTTATTTTATCGACTGCGGAATAAAGATTATTGTTATGATTATTACTATTACTTTCTTCTACGAATTTCTATTTTCCTGTAGGGTAATTAACTTACTTTTGATATTATTTTGAGTGATCCAATCATATTTTATCTTATCAGGTACATTCAATATTTAGTATTTAGTATTTTGGTAGAATTCGCAACTCCTTTAATCTTTGTTTTCTTTCTTATTTGCGGAAACTTCACCGGAAGTCAAGGAAGCCACAAAGTTTATCAAAAAAACCGCAACGCGTGATGGCTGAAACCAGGTCGCATAACGACGATCTAACCGTGACACTTAATAAAGGAACTAC